AACATACTCCTACCATACAGAATAATTATCTGTATTGCTTTACCAACAGGTCCACGAGTTCATGGCTTTGTTCTCTCCTGTCTGTAGATTGTACCAAAAGGAAACTAGTAGGATAGGAAAGCAAGGTTCCTTCAAATTGAGAGCTTTATAAAAATAGGTGAGTCCTTTAAGACTTTCATCACTACCCCAATTGCTTTTTAATACATACACAAAAATATTTTTAAACACACAACCAATTACTCCAGGGTCTTCTATGCAAAAATTGAGATTAGAATTATTCTGGTGTATCATCTTTTGTGATTAAAGACAGGAGTCTTGTTCAGTGCATTGTCTACTCCTTGCTCAAACAACAATCTGAAGTTCTTTTAAGAAGCTGAGCCTGGATTTGCACCTCATTCTCTCACTTACAGAAGCCTTTGTGCATCTGACTTAAATTTGCCATTTGAAGCAAAAAATTGGCACGCCTCTGTTCTTTCAGGAATATATTTTGACTCGGCTGTTCACAAAGCTGACATTTTTAAATTAAGGTAGGGAAAAAAAAACAAACAAAAGAAAGTAGGGCTTCAGAATATGGTTGAGTACAAAACCCCACTTTACCACAGTACTGTTAAAACTGCCTTTTGAACCTCTTACACCCCCACCCCACCCCCAGAAAGTACCTGTTTTGTCTGCAAAATGCAGCACAATGTACAAGACTCACTAACATTTCAGATTTTCATTCCGTTAGTGTAAAGAAACAAACATTCAAACAACAGAAAAGATTGTTCAAGTACCAAATAAGGGGCTTTTCTAAACTTTAAATCTGTGACACGTCTTTAGTAATTCTGCTGTTTTGAACATCCATGGCATTGTGTTACTGGACACGTTTGCCATCCAAGTTGCACACAGAGCGTTAGGGCAATCAAGACCCCCTCCCCATCTTCCCCCTGCCCTTACAACTGCATTGAAAGCGTCAACGTTCTTGTCAACGTTCTTTTCCACAGTCTCCATTGTGGCTGCTTGGCTTTAAAGAGGCCAAGATCTGCTTTGATTTCTATCCTTCTGTGACATGAGTGCAGCTTGAAATTTGGATATGATGGAGACTAAATGGGCTTGATTCTCCTCTCACGTAAACAGCTTTTATTTGATGGAATCTCTGCTTACACTGATGTGAGCAAAGAATCACGCCATTAGTTTGACTGAGAATTCCTTTTCTACCTCAGTTGCCTTTGGACGTGTGCGCGCACATGGTTCAGGGAGGAATGTTGTCCTGCATCAGAACCCAGCACAGACTTAGGGGACACATGGTACATCGCTCCATCACTCCCATAACAGTTTAGGCAATTTCTCTCACTAACTGGAAAATGCGCCACCATCTATGTTCAGATTCTAGCACACAGTGGTTCCAATACTCACAGACACACCCTGGTTTAGACTCTTTGGGAAAACTCTGCAGCATCCTCAAACTGCATCTTATCAACTCATCTCACTTGTTCACAGTAAGACATGTGAGTGGTAATGGAACTACTGGCAGGAGAGTTGGATGTTTAGGAACTTCCGCAATATGGTTCTCTTGGCGGATGGGCTGCACACAATAGCAACTGTGGAAGATGATCTTTTTTCCCCATTCGTGAAAAAGCAAAATATTGAGTCACCCCTGTTCCCTGCAAATATACTTCAAACCGAGAGAAGAAACAACTGTGCATATTAGAACGTCTCAGGATTATTTACCCATTTAACACTGTGCAAAAAAAGTTTTATTTAAATCTAAATATATTTAATACATGGGTTAGTGAGACGCGTACTACTCTAGCTGCAGTCAGGTAAGAAATGGCTGCTCTAATGTACTGAGCATAGAGTCCCCATCTTTGGACCCTGGAAACCAGAATTTTTCTGCGCTTTGTTCAGACATGAATATATTGTTCTCTTGGGGTTTTAAGTTATTTTACTCCATTTCTTTTGCCTCTTACGCATTTGTTTTAGGCTTGTTAACAGCTGATACTAGGGCCAATCCTGCACTTATTGAGCCTTTTCCAATTTCTCATTCAGCCAGGAGAGGAATGGCTCTGTTGGGAGCAACAGCATAACATTGGTTTTATACTAGTGAGTGAACAGGCTCAGGCCAGCTTGAGCAGGCCCCATAGTGGATTATACTTGCTCTGTAGTTTGCTTGGTTTTATACCCATTTTTCACTTGCCAAATGAGTGCAAAAACTGATGCAAAAGTAGGTGTGCAATGGCATGTGAGTATAAAATGGGTAAAACGCTAGCAAGCTGTAACTTCATGTGCCTAAATCAAGTGCAAAAAGGCACATGGACAAATCAGGAGTCCTCAGGAAGATAGGGGTAGAGAAAATAAGTGAGGAATTTCTAGGTTTTAATTTGAACATGGTTCTAATCTGAAATTTAGGGGGGGAAAAAAGATTTAAAATGCTTCTAGATGGCTTTTAGTTTTCTGGATGTATTGCTCACAATAATGCAGCATCTGCGATGGACCTTTGAAATAAGAGGGGCTGCAGATTCTGAGTTCATTCACACCCCACTGTAAAGCCAAAGTCACTTCACAGAAGCCAATGGAAATAAGTTTATACCAGTTTAGCCAAGAGTGGAATCTGGCCCCAATACATCACACACACACAGTGGGATTCGGCTAGAAGGAATCTTCAGAAGTCGTTCTGCTTCCACTTGCTGCACCTTTGTCATTGGTGCTGCAAGACCGAGCCAGGATTTAGTCTAATAATTGACCTTTGCTTGGTTAATATGAAAATCTACGTCACAGTTCAGGTAGCAAGACACTTCACAGTTTGCAGCTAACCCAATTCTCACTAGTGGGCTCAAGTCTCCATTGATGCCACTAGCGTTTCCAGGGACGTGAGGGAAGAACCATTATGAAAATCTACATTACAAAGGCACAGCTAGAAGTTAACGGCTATCTGTGCCTCTGAAAATCTACCCAGTGTATGTGTAGTCTAGAATGAATCCAATGGCAAGCCGAATGTTAGAGAGGCAAGAGATAATAAAGTGGGAGAAGGATGCTTTGCAGGCACTGGATTACTGTAACTCAAGAGATGGGGCCAGTTGCATTTGTTACAGAAAATTTTCTAGTTTTTGAACCTACAACTGGAGCAACAAATCTAGGTTTTTACTGAACAGGGAAGACATTTTACCAGCAACACAGATGCCAACCTGGGGAAACACAATCACTTGTCATGGGGTGCTCTGTTAATCACAGTCTCTTCTTACACAGGATATCAAGTTTCAGGTTGTGGGACTTTTTAAGCCTTGAAAATTCTTAATTTGAAGATCACATTCTAGCTGGTTAACTGGAGCTGGATTTAACCAGCAACACATTAGTGCAAAAGAAAGTGGTGCCTGGACATGCCAAGCTATTTAAATCGCCCTTTCCACTATTATCTATCAATGTTTTAGATGTCATGTCCCTTCTCATGAATAAACAATGTTCTGCTTAACAGTATATTGTAGTGCCTTTGATAATTTCTCAGTGTAAACACTACTTAAGCCTCGATTTTGCCGTTATTCTTTTGGGATTATAGCTGGTTCAAGCTCAAACAAGAAATCAGTGGCAGGGTCAGAAACAAATGCAAGGGCTTCTGACCTGCAGTCTCATGTCTTAATTACCAATCTGTTTCCTTGCTGGTGCAATTTACCTACATTGGGTATAAAACAATGCTACTATTAAAAAAAACAAAAAACAAAAATTAAATTCTAAGGGCTCTCAAATAATTATTTTGCAACTTGTGCTTTGTTGCCACTGTTATACTCTTACCTAATTTAGTTTTCCACTATAGAAACTCAGTAGGAGCACATCAAAATACTGAGTCAAGCTATAATGGGGTGTGTCTAAACTACACCCCTCTACCGACAGAGGGATGCAGATTAGGCACATCACTATTGCAAATGAAGCGGGGATTTAAATATCCTGCGCCTCATTTGAATAAATGGCTGCCATTTTTTGCCGACGCGGCACTTTGCTGGCAAAAAGTGGCAGTCTAGATGGTGATTGGTTGACAAGGAAAGCTTTTTCCGACCAATCCCTTATGCCTCGTGCAACGAGGTTTACAGGATTGGTCGAAAAAGGCTTTCCTTGTCAACCAATCCCCATCTAGGATTGCTGCTTTTTGCCAGCAAAGTGCCTCGTTGGCAAAAAGTGGCAGCCATTTATTCAAATGAAGCGCAGGATATTTAAATACCCGCTTCATTTGCAATAGCAATGTGCCTAATCTACATCCCTCTGTTGGCAGAAGGGTGTAGTTTAGACACACCCATGGGGACAACTTACATTTCTCTTCAAGTGCAATTATACCCTGGCTTAAGCATTTTAGCAATGCAGGCTCCACCCAGCCACACCGAAGGTCTCCATACCCATCATCTGACAGTATCAGATGCACCAATGGGTGGCACAAGAGAACCTGGAGTTGATTGTAGAATAGTCTGTGTAGTTATAGCAGAAGAGTCGCTTCTTGCTTTGGCTACTAAACTGGCTGCTGTGTTTACAAATGATCCAGGTTAATTTTTGATTATTGCCAACACTAAACATGGCTACACGTAGTGGAACTAGGTTCCACTAGCATAAAATCTTGAATAATTGGCTTCAATGGAGTAACGGAAATCAGAATCTGGTCCACAGTGAACAAGTCAGAGGGGATTTGTACAAATCAGCATACTATTTATAATAGAAAAAGTCTGAGGACTGGTCTTTATATAATTATTTGGTATAATAAGCCATCCAGAAGCACTGCATTGCACCTTTTCTTTATACTTACATTACAAAATGATTACAAGGGTTTCAAAAGAGTAGATCATCATTCAGCAACAGAACTCACAAAACTTGAGTGGCCAGCTTCATTCTGGTTTACATTCCAAAGCACTGTATCTAAAAGACTTGGAAAGAAGTGTCCCAAAAGAACAAAACAAAAACAAGAACCCCACACATGGAGGAGTGAGGAAGGAGGAGCAATTACATCAAATCAGACAGATTAGAGTTTTCAAAACCACACAAAGTTTTAGCTTTTCCTTTTATTTGTTTCAAGTTTTGGTGTAGAAAGTATGTGCGGATGCTAATGCAACCTTCCCCCAGAAGAAGTGCTTAATCCAGCAACGAACAAAGTTTTGGTGGGTCCAATTTGGTTAAATGTTTCCTTTAAGCGAAGACCTGTAGAGCCGTTGAAACCAAAACTTTGTTACTGTTGGTAAAAAATAAAGCAACTTTTCTTTATAAGGATTTTTTCCTTTTAAATAACAACCTGAAGCTTTCCGGTAATTCCTTTGGTCTTCTCTCACCAAATTCCACATCTCAAGATAAGCCCTCATTTGGAAGTTCGGCTGAGTTGCAGTGAAACTGCTAAAATTAACAGAGCATTGCTGTGGTAGAGTTCCCCCACTAGTTTCTTGGAGTTTAAGACTGAAAGACATTACTGATGCCTCAAATGAGGCCTCAAAATGGTCTCCACAAGAACAAGAAAAAAAAATCCCAATTCAAAGTTCTGCTGAAGGTGCCTGGCAAAAAGTTATCCCCATAAAATGTTTTGCTTCCAGTTTTTTGGATGTGTTTATGTTCAGTTTATTCCCCCCGGAAGGAAACAAAAAAGTATCAGTGTAAAAGCACAGCTGAGCTTTAGGTAGCACCAGGACACCTACACCCAAGCTGTCGTCTTGTTGCTGCTAGGCCTCTTTGATTCACATTCACAGAATCACTTCTTGTGCAAAACAAGCAGTCTAAGGAGAAAGAATGCCCTCAGAGTTCTAATAAAAACTGTAGAAAAGAATCCAAGATAGCCAACACTTTCCCCCTCCTCAGAATTTATCTGCAAAGGGAGGAGGGCATCTGTGCGTAGACAGGATAGGCGAGCCTGACATTTAGGGAATCGTTGTGTTGGATGAGGGATGTCTGCTGGTAATGAAGGACTAATTCCTTAAGTGTGCTGTACAGGTTATATGGTTCTGCAAAACCATAACCCCTTGGAGTGCTGTAGATCACACAGTGTTTAACTTCACCATCAGCTCTGCAAGGAAAGAAACGGGACAGTTTAACATGACAGCTGAAATGTTAACAGGCAACTACTATAGCAAAGCTGATTTTGCATCAGTAAAATAACGACAAACTCTAGACAGATGAAGGAGATGTTATAATAGTGATTCCATGCAGAAGAAATGCTTCTAGAAAGAATGGTCCGACTTTCTTACAAAGTGACCTACATAAAGAGGCTTTCCATGGTGGGACAACTCCAACCCCTACTGCCTACTTCTCCAACTCATTCAGTGGACCACTAGGAAACGGCTCTACAGACCAGACTTTGCTGACAACTAGCTTAGTTCCAGTCCAATTCTAGTTTAGACTTATTCTATCTAGTTTCTCACTTTGGCTTTGAGAGAGAAGTGGGTTGATTCTCAAAACCAGTAAGCTTTCTGCAGATCCCAATGATTTCAGGGGGAGTGCAGCCATCCTGGAATTTAAAAAAAAAAAAAAGTGAGGCCATTATACGGTCAGACCTTTTTATATTTCAAGAGTTACCAAACCAGAGAGATGGAAAAAAAAAAAAAAACCTTCCTTCTCTAGAGTACTCCTGCAATCATTTAGCCTGTCTAGCTTCAGCAACTACGTTTGGGAGGTTTGGAATAAAAATTCTGTTTCTCATCTGTGTTGTCAGAAATAAACATAAGTGCTAGATACGGAGGTTTAATTATGTTACTAGAAGCCATAACTATTTGATCTTCTGTTATAGACTTCTTATATATCCATACTTAACTTCTTAAATAATGACTTATGGAGGAGAGTATGAAAAACATAGGTAATACAGATGAGAAACAGAAT